AAGTTTTAAACTTCGTATTGCTTAGTTACTACTTTAGGGAGTTTTCTATAATTTCATAACTAGAGTGTGTTTATACTAAGCAGCCCTATTTCATTTCTTTTATTATATTATAAGTACCTACTTAAGAGATTTTGAAACGTTTTATCGTGTCCCGCCCGTGACAATCATTTATAATTTTTTCTAATGATGCCTAACAATAAAAAAATAAGTTTAACGTTTCAAACCTATGTTTAATGCCACAAAACTCTGAAGTACAGGTTGACTAAACACCATAATACTGTTGGTGGGCTAAGCGATGTAGTAAAAAATTTCGCGTGGCCAGCTCGAAAAGTCAAGATAAGCATTACTATCTTAGAGACGCCAGAGAATTCCATGATGAGGGTTGCTTAACAACAATTAAAAGTCAATATTAACAATTACCTGAAAAGTTCCAACCAAGAAAATCTAGAAGTTCGCGAAACTTATAAATTCAATCCAATAAATAGCCTTTAAGTGACAAAGATATACATATGTATCTGCTTACAAGTATTCTAATGCAGATAACTTTTCGGATTAGACATCGATACACAAGATCTTTTCTGACGTTCTATGGTTTTAAGGAATAGCTAAATTTGAGCATGATTTGTCCATGAAATCAGTTTCCAACAATAACTCAACTCGAGCCACTCTTAAGCCGGTTACTCAATGTCTGGTCAACACTAACAGCAGGTTAGACATCTCTATCGACGTGATAACAGTAGTCGATATACATGTTTAGCCTGTAGTTAGTATTAGTCAGACATACATAGCTATTCTAAACAAACTTGAAAATCATTAAGGCACATTCGAAATTTCGTTGCAATCAAATGCACCGTGCAGAAGTGCATTAGGAAAATGCATATAAAATTTCATGCGTTTGCAAATAATCCTTTCTTCCATGCATTTTAATACATCAATCTGGCGACTTCTAGCTTTCGTTTGGTATAACTATTGCCCCTAAAATAGATCCTGGGGTCAGCAGTATATCGTGCGTCTTACAATGACTCCACTGTCATAAAAGTAGGTCAATTGATCTTGTATTTGACCTCTAACATTTATCATACCTAATCTCTTTGATATGGATCTCACTAGAAGCTTCCTTTCATGAAGAAAATCGTACGTGTCCCACCCGTGACAAAAGTTGTCCCACCCGTGACAGGAGAATTTTGAATTTTTTAATAATAAACAAATAATTCTTATTATGGTTTGTGCTTTGTTGGGATTGCTGGTTCTTTTCTGTATAGTAAAACATCTAATCCAGATAGAAATGTTAAGTAAATTCACAGACTTTCCTTAAAATATATGTTCTCCAAAAAGCAGTGTCTTTTCTTTGTCCTACCCGTGACGGAAGAAACAGCTCAGAATTTTCCAATATAAAATCAAGTTGGAATATTTTTCGTATTTGGTAATAACTCGTATATTAGTGAACTAGGTGTAGCTTTATCAAAATGTAGAATTGCTTAGTACTTTATACTTAAATTAAAAAAGAAAAACTATTTTTGCTGTACAAATGTCCCACCCGTGACGATGGAATACCCCTTATATCTTTTATAAAAAATTAATAAATATTAAATAAACACAAGGAAAACTCTCAATACTGAGGATCAGAAGTGGCCGCTATACAAGTGGCCGCCACTGTATACATACATATGTATATACATATGCATCTATGGTTGGTATGTGTACGTAATGTTCAAGTTTGAGTACTTGTACACTCTTTTTAATTTTGTCTAATCTGTTTAAATCTACCAATATTATTGTGACATGATACAATGTTTTTTGAAACATTATTGCAATATTTGCTTTTATTTTTATTGTTTTTTATTTCATTATCTTAATTAAAAATTAATTAAAATCACAATGTGTCAAAAAAAGTCATTTCAAAAAAGAACAAGTACGTACTACATATTAAAATAAGGCCTTTTTCATAATACCTTGTTACGTTTATAAATAGTAGGCCTTGCACTGTTTTGTTTTTAACCGACTTCACATAAAGGATAAGGTTATCAATTCGTCGGAATATTTTTATTTTCTTTTTTTTGTTTTTTTTTTTGTATGTGGACCACGTTAACCGATTTCTATAATTCTTGTTTTAAAGGCAAGGGTTTACCTCACAGGTGGTCACATACTAATTTGGTTTAAATCCGATCATTGGATCATGAAGAAATTAACGATACTCTTAAATGTTTATATGAGAATTGAAGCCGGTTTTGTTTTTTGCTTAAAAATTACTTTTTTTTCATAAAATAGTTAGATTTTTATCGTTATACATTTTTAAATAATAATGTGCTGAAGCTTGTGCTCAACGGCTATTATTTATGAACGAAAGCTTCAAAATATTGAAACATTTTTGTAATACGGAAAGTTGAACTAAAAGCTAGAACAAATTATTTAAACTGAATGCAGAGAAGTTAAAAAAAAAATTTTGAATAGGTTTTTGAGCAGTAGTTTTGTAAAATGCATTTTTTAAGTAATACTCGTAAGAAGTATCAAATAGAGCTGTACGAAAGATTATGCGACTTGAAGTCAGAGACTTAATTTGAAACCTTTTAAAGAAATACTTATCATGTTACATACATATGTACATATGTATTCCTATACGCAGTGGCGGCCACCTAATAAAGGACACCACTTCTTTAGAAGTTTTGACCATTTGTTTTTAATTTATTTATTTTTTCTTACAGAAATATACATAGGTTATACCTCAGCAAAAACTATATAACTCAAACCTTGTACAAGATTTATAAAAATTCGACAAGTTTAAAAAAGTGGTCATCAAAATTTCAAACTTCGTATGGTTTTCGTTCTGCTACAAATTATATTTGTTTAAAAAATTAAAAAATAAAATGTTCAAAACTTGTAAAGAAATAGTGTGCCTAATTACGTGGCCATCACAGGTAATGTGTTGTATATACATACATATAGTGGTGTTCAAAACATATGCAACTGATACGAATATTTTAGAAAGACTGACAGAAACTAGTTTTATGAAATAGAAACTGCAGATATTTATTTTGGCTAAGTTTAGTAGCTTGGTGCTGGCAGGATGCATAAATGTGGTACATGATAGATTTTTTCAGCGATAACGACAATTCATCAATATACATATTTTGCATGATTTATTACTTCAATGGTGAACATTTAACAAACTATTTAGATGCGAATGCGTGAATAATCAACGACAGCTTCGTATTGGTGAAACATTTAAGTCATTAAATTGTCAAAAAATCATCAATGCGTAACTAGTTTCGGAGTACCCCGAAATGATCTCGAATAGGGTCCCAAAATAGTACTGAGGTAGTTCCGAAAAAGTCGTGAAATGTAGTTGCATTTGTTTTGACCGCCAGTGTAAATCGTTTTCAAAGACGTTTTTGAAACTTTTAATAAAAAACAAAAAAAAATGGAAACAATTTTGTAAATCGTACTTTTCTAATGAATTTCTGAACACGACTAAAAATAGTGTAGAATTAATACATATAGATTTAGCTCAAGACAAATCCGCCTCAAGTTTAAGCCTAAAAACATTTCTTTTTTTTACATTTAAACTAATAAGCTTCTTTTTGGTTGCATCACATTTTGCATATTAAAATTAAAATTATAAAAGAACTAAAGTACAAAACTGCAAGTGCTTTGATTTTCGAAAAAAAAGTTCTTTTGAATATAAAATTTTTTATTTTGCGTTTTCTTAGCCATTTTATTGCTATATGCTATTGTTGGGCATTTATAATTAAGGCAATTCCCTTAAACTCAAAAAACTCGAAAATGCGAGAATCGGAAACATATGTATTTTATAAACAATTTGACAGTTTGGTTAGTTGCAGTTACATGACACTCGCAGTTTTCGAGGTGTTTTTTTTTTTCAGTTTAACCCTAGAATACCAAGATATTTTTTTTCTCAATTAATACTAATGTTGAGGCTACTTTAGGAAAAATATACTTTTTTTAGAAGTTTTTTAAAAGATATAAAAAAATTTAATTCATAAATCTAATATTGTTAAAACTAAATGCATATTGAAAGTAAACAAACTTTTCATCGTTTCTTTTTAGAGATAATGAGGGCATTGACACCTATCTGGTCATCGGGTTATATTTTTTATTGAGTTTACAACAAAAAACTCCATAGAATAATAATTTAAAACTAGATAACCTGATAACCATGCAAGATTAAACACCCTGAATCAATAAAAAATAATTATTAAATTTATCTTACTTTTAAATAGAAACTGATTTTTTTGTTTCTGAAGAAATTGCATTAATTAAATACATAAATTACGTAATGGTTTGATATTTCTTCAATAAATATTTTATTTTGCTTTTCAACAGCATAGAAAATTAAATAGTATTTTACCTAAAAACAAGCAATGCTTTGCAATTCCTCAAGGAGATAACTTAAAGTACATATGTACATAAAACTAAATACATACTTAATAATACGTAGTATGTACATAAAATTGTGGTGTTTCAAAATGATGTAAAAAGAATACTTCCGCATATACATACGTTGTATTTATTGTGTAAAAAATAGTTTGCGAGTATAAAATAAAACACATAAATAACTGCTTAGCAAATGCAGAATCGTTAATTTGACATATAAACACATACATACATACATACATGCAATATATCTAAATAAAATAATCAGTTTCCGTTCGAAGCCATCAAATGACTTCAGCGCATATTTTAGTTTCTTCTTCTCCTTAAAGTTTAAATATTTGCAGTTGCATTATTTTATTATTTTTTAATTGTGCACAGGACCAGAACACACAAAATATTATAAACAACAAATGCGCCATAAGCATGATTAATTTTTTTTTTCATTCAGCAAATACAAATTAAAAGACAAAAAACGCCAAAAATCTGCATTTAGGCGAAGCGTAACGCTGATTTCTTGTGTTTACTTCAATGCATTTGTGTACGGAACTTTTGAGCATGATTTCGATACTTCTCATTGTTCTTATAGGCGTGCGATTTCCATACTAACGTTTTTTTGTAAAAATGCGTTTTTCCAACCCTTCCTACTGCACATAGCTTTATATAGCAACTTTTTGTATGCCAGATTCAGCAGCATCCATATGCAACATTACTATGGAGCCAACCATGGCGACCACTGTGCGATCCAGCCATGTAACGGGATTGGGATAAATTAAGCCACCTTCATAGAATCCCAAATGTCCGCCGTGGGCCAATTCAATGTAAGCCGTATTGGGACGCGACACTGCAGAAGAAGAAGAGAATATATTATTTATGACATCTTACTTACAATAAAAAAATTTTACTACACAATGAATAAAAAAATAACTTATACAAATTTAATAAAAAATAAAGATAAATAAAAAATATATAACATAAAATAAATATATAGAATAAAAAATCCATAAAACAAAAAATATATAAAATAAAAAATATATAAAATAAAAAATATATAAAATAAAAAATATATAAAATAAAAAATATGTTAATTAAAAAATATACAAAATAAAAAATATATTTATTAAAAAATATAGGTATAAAATAAAAAATACATAATAAAAATGAATATCAATAAAAAAAGAATATGTAATAGAAAATATATATTAAAGAAATAAATAATAAAAAAATAAATAGCAATAAATAAATAAAAAAAAAAAACATTAAATAATTAAAAAATATTAAATAATAAAAAAAACTAACTTCCTTCGCAGTCGGTAGGATTCGAACCTACGCTCCCAGAGGGAATCTGATTTCTAGTCAGACGCCTTAACCGCTCGGCCACGACTGCTGCTTAGCGAACAGCGGCCAAATGACTATTTTGTCAAAGCTTACTCAGAGCAAACAGTTCTCACCTAACGAACAGGGTTGCAAATTCGCAGGGTGCACTTGATGATTATTTTTTTTCGTTATTCGAAAAGTTTTTTGATGATGCATTTCCGAACATCATTTTTTGCATTGTTCAAAAAAAAATTTTTTGATGATGCGTTTCCGAACATTTTTGCAATTTGCAGGTTTTAAATATAAAATAAAAAACAACAAGAACGAGTTTAGTCCATTAATAGTGCGATCAGCTTACATATGTACATACAGCAGTGTTCACGAAAATAGCAGCGCTACGTATTGACAAGCTTTGACGATTTAATTTACTTTTATTTCATTTTAATTTTTTTTTTATAAAAATACAATTACATATTTCTACAACAAAAACCATACAAAGAACATACTTTTGTATAAGTAATTTTCATCTTTTTAGTACTCGCTGGCAAAAAAAACCGATTTTATAGAAATGTTTAAAAGTTTTGCGGTGAACTATCCACTTATCCTTATCGCTTTTTTCCTAACCAGAAATGTTTGTCAAATCTTTGGAAATTTGAGCAGTTAAAATGAAAGATTTCTTTGAATTGCAAATGGTAAATTCTTACAGAAAAACCTTTTACTTCTGCCGAAAAAAACAGTCGGTAAAATGGGGAGCTCTTGTTAATCAACAATTTTAGGCAGGGCCATACCTTTGAAAGCTGTATAAGAAGACCTTCCAATAGCTCGGCTATTCGGAAACAGGCGAGTAGGGGGTTTTTTCAAAGAAACAGATGTCAAATAAAAAGAGAATTGGAACAAGCGTCTCGCGGTGTGTGTGGAGCAAAGTTACAATGGTAATGCGTCATCATTAAATATTTGGTGAAAATTTCCGCTTCTATGAGAAGCCGATTTAGGAGGCCTGAAACTTCCATACAAAAAAAAAAAGAGTAAAAAAAGAGTAGAGCGGAGCCGCTGTATTTTAATCAGCCACCCTATATCTACATATATATATCGTTGCAAAGCTCGAACAGCTCATCGTTTTTGGGTCTCAATAGTACAATAACCTGGTTTCGGCGAAAACCAATCCCCTCTTAAAATTGCATTAATTTAACTCACTGCTTAACAACTTACATGCAAACTCCTTAATGGGTGGCAGCAACTCTTCCGGCACAAGTGGATCGTCCTTGGCATTAATGAATATCATAGGTTTTTCGATGTTGTCTAAAAAGTGTAATGATGAACTCCACTTGTATAACTCTTGTGTAGTTGAGAAATTATGTATACGACGTGTATATGCTTCATCCAATTCCGGCAGTGTAGCGGCAGCAATAATTTCGCGTTCATTTAAATTATGACGTGCCTTTACCTCGTCCGATAGTAAAACATGACGATGCTTCAGTATGATACTCTTCACATTCTCTGTCATCACATACAAATAGAAACGGCGGAAATTTTGCCAATTTAAGAGCCATTTGGTGCCTCTGTGGAAAGAAAAATGTACATATGTAGAGATACAATTAAATTTTATTAATTTTCGCAATCCAATAAATATTGGCCAAAGTGTATTGACATGCAGGCACAGGCCGGCAGCCCGCGGACATGCACATAACAAATTGATTGATTGTTGCACTTACTCTTCTGCATTGTAGCCCTGACAGATTGATATGCCACCAAGTATTGTTTGCGGCTTCGTTTTTGTTGTCTCGCCCATATATTTCGTGACAAGATTGCCACCTAAGCTAAAGCCAACCGCAACAATGCGGCTATGTGGGTATTTCTTGTGTAAATTGCTGACCATTTCGGCAAAGTCATCGGTGTGGCCTGGAATTGTGTGTATGAAATATTGCATAAATGCAGTTTGAGTCATTTAGAAAAATATCGCTTTCAAGAAACATTACACTGGTGATCATTTTATTCGCATGTAATATGACCTACTCAATCCGAGTGTGACCGCGATTCTCTGCAAAACTGATTAGGCCAGTCAATATACATAGCAATTAAAGTGCAAAAAATTACGCACAGAATAAAAAAAAGTACTTAATATGCTCTTGAGAAAATTATTTTAATTTATCCTACCTCTTCATTTGACAACAAATATTTTTAATTAATTAAAACCTAATAAAAATTATTGCATCGCTGATTTATCACTGACGCACAAAGGGACAAATGTAGAAAAAAAGAAAGTTGTCGTAATTTGTTGAAATTAAACTGGTTTTTGTAGCGGTTACCCTTTTCGAAAAACCCGAGGTTTTAGTACCGGTTACCAATTTTGAGGTAAGCGTAGTGATCACACCCATTATATATTATGGTGATTTCCAAAATTAAATCGGTTTTATGGTATTGGTTATCAATTTCGTAAAAACGGAGTGCCACGCCCATTTTTTAATTAAAAAAAAATTACATTATGCGTTAGGATTTTTATGTAGATCAATTTAATAATTATTAAAACCTCGCATAATTTGAAAATTTTCCAACTTTTTCTTTGTAATACCATGAACAATATATTACATTAGTGTGGTCCAAAAATGTACGTGAAATAGTAAAGTCGGAATTTTTATACTCTCGCACCCTAGGATTGCTCTATACCGGAAAACATATATGTACACCTATTTTTTATTTATTTTTTTACCAAAAAATAGAGGTCGCAGAAAGCGCTCAAAGTTTTCTATATATTTTATATGGGGAAAAAACAACTTTTCGTAGAAATGGTAAAGAATTCTTAAAAATCCCAATAATAATACTCAATTGTTTATTTAACCATTTTTTCATGGTGACCATAATTTATAGGTCCACGAAAAACTCCCAAAAACCACGAAAAATGCAATAGAGGGACCAATAAAAAATCGTGAGTATTAAAAAAATGGTTAAATAAACAATTGGGTATTATTATTGAAAGTCTCCTGAAGAGAACAGTTTTCCGATCGAAGCATTAAAATTCAGACTTTACTTTTTTTTTGACCACCCTAGTGTATATACTATGTATACAAAGAATCGCTCATTAGTAGGCGTGGCTATGCGTATTTGCCAAAAAAAATACTCTAAAACGGTTTTAAGAGATTCGCTTTGTATAAGTAGAGCTCTCGTAAAATCGACCGGCTATTCGACTACCCGAAATTATTCGAACAGTGACAGTTTTTCACTATAAAATTATTGTTATTAGCGCGGTTGGCTTTTGCCAATAAGCACAAGTATTCAAAAAATATAAAAAAGACAATGTTAACTGAAAGAAAACAACTAGTCGAAAAATATAAAATCAACGGTTAGTCGACTAGTAAGTTGATTGTGAGCGGTTAGTTGAAAAAGTCGAAAGGAAACGGTTAGTTAATTAAGTGAAGTCGATAATTTTTTAAATAACTTTAATAATAATATTTTGGTTTAGTTAAATATCCCCTAAAACCATTATTTTACATAGAACAGTTTTTAAACTTAAAGGGAAGTTTTCACCATGTCTGGTTAATTCTAACGTGGTTATCGACAGCCAGCTTATAACATGTGATCATAAAGCAGTCGATGTGATTAACTGAAGGATGTACCTCCAGTTAGCGTTAACTAGACATGGTGCAAACGGCCCTAAGACATTGCGACGCTTAACACGTTTTGCGAATTCCTTAATGGCATATGAAAATTTAAAAATTTCGCTTTAGGATTTTTTAAAATGCCGGTTTTTTTCTTAAGTACCGTCATATGAGAATTGATCGGTAAATTGGTAACCGGTACAAAAAAACGCTTTAATTTTTTAAAGTTGGTAACCGGTACTAAAACTCCATGGTGTAATGAACTGAAGGTGGCGCATTCCCGAAACCGCTACTTTGGTTTTGCCGACTTTGACGTTTATGGCAATACGTAAACAAACTTTTTGTTTATAAACAAGTGCAAACGTATTGCAAACGTATTGTGTATTTTCTAGTGAAAAATCGAAGTAATTCGTGCGTTCTGAAGTAAAAAACTTTTTATTTGTAATAAAAACTTTATAAAAATGTCGTGTCGTGTGTTGAATTGCAGCAGCCGTAGGGGTAAAGGCCCTAAATGCAGTTTTTTTTTGTTTCCCCGCGACGACGCCTTGGCCAGAAAGTGGGTAGAGTTCTGCCGGCAGGAGAAGCCATACAATTTAGACACCAGCGTAATATGCATGAAGCACTTTACGGATAAGGATTACATGAGTAACTATCATTTATTTTCATTACTTATATATGTCGATATCTAATAAAAGACTTAGGAACTGCTAGTCGACCATCGCTTCGCCGCGACGCCATGCCAACCATTTTTGAGTGGAAAATAGATCCTGCTCCGGTGTGTGAGTCACAAAATGACAGCGTTGAGGAGATCATTGAGCTACAAAATTGCGAAGGTAGCAAATATTATACTATAAATATTATATTATTAATGTCAGTGGTTTATTAGTTGGTTTAAATGAAGGCGATAAAGTATATCGGCCCAGGGACGGTACTCTTGATGCTTCGACGTCACCTATCCGTAACTGTGTTTACTATGATAGTGATCTTCAGGAAGTGGAAGTGTTGAAAGTGGAAGTGTACGTTAATAAGTAACAGATCTTTATGTGTAAATGTAATAATATCTTATATTTCTCTTATTTGAAGTGAGACATTCAAGCGCGAAAATGCACACCTCAAAAAGGAAACCGAAAAGCAGTGCACCGAGCTCGCTACATTGAAGCGGGAGTCCGACCTGCAATTGAAGAGACACGCATGGAAAATGGAGTCACTGCAAAAACGTTTGGATGAAATGGCTGCCCAAATGAAAAATGTGGAAGATGCACTAGCTTCCATCTTCACCAAAGGGCAGATAGCGAAGCTGAAGTCTGGGTCGAAGCGACGAAAATGGGCGGAAGAGGATATTGCGAAGTCAATATCGTTGTATGCTGCCAGTCCTAAAGCATACAGGTTGCTATATAAGCGTACATGATCACCCTGACCAACAGGAATTCAAGTACCGTCTGCGACTATACCTGCTAGGACACAACAAGGGCGTATTATCCGATTCTGCTAATGTAGAAGAGGATGATACGCCTGACATAGAAATCACGCAGCCTCCGCTTACAAGTAATTCAAAATAATTTTTTATCTATTTCATTCGGCTTAAATATAAAAATATATTTTATTAATAATCGCACATATATATTTCACCATATTTACAGGTATTTTGCTGAAAAACTTAAGCTCTAATGCAGAACTGTGGCCGGTTGAAGAAGCGGAATTCGAGGATTTGGAGCTAGACGGACTCGAGCATTTAGCGGGATATATTTGCCACAAGCTGCAGGATGACATTCCCAGCACGTCGTTCAGGAGCAATGACGACCATTCATTCTCCTGGGCGGATCACCTTAATGAGGGTGGGTTATCCCTACCAAGCTCCTCTATGATGGTCCATATGCGAAGTCTTGAGTCAGTCTTTAAGGCATTGAACGAAGATGGCTTTTTCATTACAAATGATTTTGTAAAAACTCACATTGAGCATGCTGCAACAATTCAATGCGACATTAAAGTAAAAAAATTATTTTTCAGGGCAAGAATGTTCTTCAAAATACGAAAATTAAATAAAGAACTCGTTGAAAATGCCCACAAAAGAAAAAGAAAAGCCAAAAAAACTCTGACCTAGATCGATCCATATGGTACCATTATAGAACCGTAAGTATTGCATAAAATACCAAACATGTGGTAAGTTTTGAACTAAAGCGTTTTTAAATTTGTAGAAATTAACCGTTCTTTACTTGCAGCATGAATCAATGTCCGCATTTCACACGCACTGATCTCAGTATTTCAGACTCCTAAAATTAAAATACTTGCATGCTACGTAAGTCCCTAGTTTTAAAAAATCATCAAGCGTCTTTTATACAAATATAAACTTATTTATTTGCAGGCAAGTAATATGATTCATCCAAAGGCCCTTTTCAGGGCCGCCAATTAATTAACAAAGAGATTAAAATTTTATGCTTAGATAAATACATATATACCAATCAACAAGAGGCCCTTTTCAGGGCCGCAATTAAGTTGACAAAGAGATTAAAATTTTATATCCTATATATATTTATGTTCTTAACGTATATATGTATGCATGTATCTTTTTAATAATTGTCATTTAAATTGTATATTTTTTTACTTAGATTTAAAAGCAATTACTTGGTTTTACACATCATTTTGCTTCGTTATAGTTAAACTTAACTAAGCGGATCAATGAAAATATAATATACTGCAAATATATGTATATAATATACTGCAAAATAAAGACTATA